CTCCTTCTCTTCCCCTTCCTTCTCCTCCTCCTACTCATCTTCTCCTTCTCCTTCTTCTTCCTCCTCCTCTTCCTTTCCCTCTTTTTCTTCTTCTTCCTCCTCCTCCTCCTCCTTCTCTCTCTGCTCCTGCTGAGTTCCCAAGGATATCCTCCAGTTACCCCACTGAGGGCAGAGTTGAATGCAGGAGGGTGAATGCAGAAGAACCCCAGATGGCACTCCCAACCCCCAACACCAACCTCTTTTTAACATGCGCTGCATGGCTACGGTGGCCATCTTGACTTTCAGACCCCACCATATGGCCACCTCTGCTCGTATTCTTCTTCAGACCCCAGAGGACTGAAGCAAGGAGGAAGGAGAAGCATGGAGCCCCATCACTCAGCAGACAGGGAAGCAGGAAGGGAAGGCTGCATCTTGGTACCTTCTACCCAGGCAGAAAGCTTTGGATGTTGGAATTGGTATCCTTGCCTTCCTCACTTTGGCTCTGAGAAAGATTGGATCAGTGATCAACTGCCCATACGGTGGGGTGAAGGCTCAGGATAGGATGCCTGTCAACTCGTAAAGCATTCCTATGCCTGTTTCTGAGTTGCCATAAGAAGGAGGGGGAGAAACCTATACCAAAGAAAAAAAAAACCCAGAAGCACATTCCACACTTATAAAGATTTTATAAGACTTTAACTTATAAAGATTTTATAAGACTTTAACTTATAAAGATTGTGTTGTGGTTAGCTGGCAGCAGGTGCGGACGGCTGAGGAGAGCGAGGACTCAGATGAGGGGCCCAGGACCATTAGGGAGTGGACTGCTGCCTTCAGATATTGTGGGGGCTGGCAGCAGCGATGAGGAGGTTCCCGAGGAGCCTGTGCCAAGTGCACGTGCACGCAGGATTGCTCATAGGAAAGAGCAGCTACAACAGCACAGGCGACTCGGGAGTAAGGCTGCAAGGTAATGGCCCCTCCTTCAAGAAGAGAAAAGCCAACTGTGAAATGAATGTTCTTTGCAGAAGGCAAAGACGTTTTGAACCTCCAGCCTTGTGGACATTCCAGTATCCTGAGTTTGTATTTGAAGATTCTTGCATTGCAAATTATTTCTTGTCTGTTATCTTTTGGCAAGTCTCGCACAGTTTGGCAAGGCTTGTGCTTATAACAGCTAATTATTTTTGCAGAAGCATTAAAAGGTTTCTGTTCCCTTTGGATTGTGTTTGATTTTTTGGAAAAGGGCGTGGGTCAGAACAGATTGTAGCCTAGGCTACTGGATCTTCTGCCCTCGAAAATCCTTCATTGGAGAGTGTAATTGATGACACCCAGCCGTGAATGTGTTTCATTGGAGAATCTGATTTAGGACACACCCGGGATGAGGTGAGGGAAAACAGGGTCTTAGGTGATAGTAAATTACGCATCTCAGAGTTGGCTTCATACGGGTTCGTGCCGGACACGTTGCTCCTAGTCAATCTTTTGGATTCTTTTGAAGCTTGGCTCGAGACTCGTGATTTAATTAGGGGCAATTGCTGGAACTCTGACAGTGCCATTAATAGGGCTTTTCTCATTTCTTTCAGCCCGCTGACGTCAACCGTCCATGTTGTTTTGGGACAACATTTTTTCAACAAAACAATAGACGTCACTCAGGAATTTAAGATAGAGAAGTACATCATGCATCCTGACTACTCCGTGTTCAACCCAACTGAAAACGATATTGGTGAGCTGTTTTTCTTGTCTCTTTCTTGCCATGTAAAGAAAGTGGTCCCCAACCTTTTCGGGGGTGGTTTCGTGCACACACTGCTTTTCACAAACACAACTTCGCACGAGTGCACACATTCTCTTGCCTGTCACTTCTGCAATTCGGTTCCAAATGGGCTGCGTGCCGACACTGGTCCATGGACTGGGAGTTGGATAACCATGATGTAAAGACTAAATTCCATTTATTGGATCAAGAATAGAGTAGAGTAGAGTAGAGTAGAGTAGAGTAGAGTAGAGTAGAGTAGAGTA